CACGCTCTGCGTGTTCAAACAGCTCATAGATCTGAGACAGCGACGCGTTTCACTTTCAGTTCAACATTTCAATCCACGCACGCTCTGCTTTTTTATGTGTAGAAAAGTCTGTGAAACAGAAACGGACGTGACTACATTTACACCACGCCTCTGAAGTTATTTGAATAACTGCACGTGGAGCCAGATGTTAGAGGTTTTGTCCAAATATAAAATATTAAGAGTCGGTGCAAACTCTTTGAGGCTCGTACAGACGTGTGAACAGCGCCACCTGCTGCTACGGAGAGGAACGAGCCTCAGCCTCTGTTTATCAGCTGGAAGTTTAGATTACAGTAACACGTGGATATAAAGTACTTTGAAATGTGAAAAGTTACATTTAAAGATAGTTTATTGTATGTTTCAGTGCCAGATTTCACACTGTCACGTTATTAATGATGATATTCTGAAAACTGTGGAAAAGAGAAGCAAATCCTGCCAAAACGCTGTGTAACGTCACGCTTAATGGACAAAGAGAAGAAACTGATAACAAAACGAGTATATGTAATATTATTAATGTGCAGTGAAGTTGCCTGCTTTATCTACGTGTCACTTCCTTTCCTCATCTGTGATTGGCTCTTGCGTTCTTTTGTCTCCTGCTTATTTCCTGACAGAAATCCTTTTATAAAGACTTCAGTTACTTGTTGCCTTACAGTGAGTATTGTAGTCCTGTTAGCTGTGCTGTTACTGCACGTGTTTGTGTTCCTAGTGTATTTTAGGTGCTCTGTGAGTTATGAAGGGAAATACAATAATTAAAGCCCATTTGAACCTATTCACAGTTATAATGAAACTGAAATCTTTACAGGTAAGACCACCAGAGCACACGCAGCAGGAGACGAGAGAACAGCACCCAGACACTTACTACATAAACTCAAACTGTCTTGGTCTTTGTCACTTTAACTATACTTCAAATTCTGTTCATCAGAAAGTCACAGCTGAAAAACGATTTCCCCTGCAGTTCCTCTGACGTCCAGCAGAGGCAGCAGTGAGTCAGCCCCACAGATTCTCATGTTAAAATTATACAGCAGAAATAAACATGTTTACAGCCTGATACACAAACTGTTTGTTCTCTATATTAAATGTCCCTCTTCATAATGAAGCGGGACATTTAATATAGAGAAAAATGTTTTTAAATCTAATCAGTTTATTGTCCTGAGGAGTCTGGGCTCCAGTTCTGATGAGTGTGATGCATCCATGCAGTGTGCAGGTGCAGCTGGATAACCAGACTAACTAGCATTAGCTGATAACGGCTCATGACTGCACCACAGCAGTGTACTCAGTGATGGCCAGGCCAAGAACGTTGTAGTTGCTACTGCAACTGGTGGCTTCAGAGTGAGACGAGGTGGGGCTAAGATGACTGAAAACATGCTGTTGGTGACTAAAGTGGCATTTTTATACAAGTCTGGCAGCTTTTGAGAGCAGACAGGGAACAAATCAATCAAGTGTTGCAGGTTTTGTGGCTACGAAGAACTCAACGGAGTCTGAGTCTACCTACAGCCTTTGTAGGTAATGATGGGTATAAGATCAGCCATGACACGAAGATGGCCGACTGGATCCCAGAAACAACGGTCACCACAGCCAGCGGCCGATTCAGCTTCTTTACCCAGGACCCCACGGTAGATCTGAAGCAGGTTAGCCAGAGTGCAGGAGATGCAGAGGGTGAAGCTGCTGCCAAATATAGAAAAGCCTAAAGAGGCTCAATTATTAGTGGGTTTGTGCAGGAAGCTGAAGGTAAGACAGAAGCTCCAGAAAAGATAACAACAGATACTTTATGAACACAGCAACAACCCTGAGGGTGAGGATGATCCCGGAGGTCACCAGAGAGCTCGGAACGATCGAGGGATCCAACCGGAGGGAGAAATCCCCCCGATTTACTCCCACACCTACGCCTCTGTTCATCACGTGAATACTGCTCGTCACCGCAGCGCTCACACGCCACACCTGCAGAGAGACGAAACACTTCAATACCCTTAGAAGATTTTCCTTCCTCAGCCCAAAGAATCAAATCCTTAGCAAAGGATTTATGGAAAAACCCTGAATGCAGAATCCACACAGCAGCACCCGATCAGCATCACGGAGCAGGACAGAGTCACATTATACAGAACTAACAGTATTTATAAATCGATGCTGGGGCTGGAGATGTGCATAATTATTATGGTTTATATTTTATACTGGCACACTTCTGGGACTGTTAATGTTCAGCTTCCATGTGTAGTGTTGTAATGATGATTTCAGGTGCACTGTGTGCTTACCACCATCGTGAGATTCAGTGTTCATGTAAAAACTGATGTCATGTGTGGAGCATATGAATGCACCAGTGCCCCACAGCTGAAGAA